CCCACCCCACCAACTCGCTAATCGTTTGGACGAGTACCATCCGATGCGTGTCGAGTCAGTGTGGTGGAGCGTGTGGCAGTATTAACCTACTTAACGCCCTTAGGACCGTGCGATACTCTTTCAAAATTAGCCCCTTTGATACTGGTCTCGTAACAAAAGGAAAAACCATGAGGAAAATTTTTTAGACCACAAAAGTTATTTTGAGCATTAAAGGGCTAAACATGAACGAAATCGAATTTAATAATGGCAAACATTTGTTTTGGCTCCTGTCGCATCGAATATTAGCAATGAATTGTATCAATTCTTTCTAATTTTAAGAATTAGTACAAATCGGGTCACTGTTGTATCCAATTCTTTCCGCAATGCTGCACAATAATTAGAAACATAATCAAGAGTGCACTTAATCCGAGCGAATCTTTGAGTTGAGAAGTAATCTCTTTGAAATTGTAAACAGAATCGAAGTCAAAATCATTACCCAGGACAGTTAATACTCAGGATTTCTTCAGCTTATAAGAATTTCTGCATGTACTAATCACTAACTCATGTTCCACATCTTCAATGAGTACACCCTTTACACCACCGCCTGAGTAGCTGCTATTACAATCGAGAAGCCAAAATTAGCACCGAAAAATGCATGAGGCATGGGACTTTGGTAAACTCGAAGTCCCATCCCCTGTCCAGTACTGGTATTCAGACATTTACCCACCCCCCCCCCTCCCCACTTAATAACGCACTTTTTGCCCAATAAATGCATTATCACCATAGGCCAATAACTATATTTTCATGATCGAATAGAACTTGCACTTAAATACACTTAACACTACAGTTACTAATTGTCGTAGAGTCGACATGAAAGTCCATAGTTGTCAAAGAACAACTTAATACTGAATATAACCCTTAGCCCATTTCTAATACCTTTTTTAAATGTAACTTTGTAAATGGAAAGCGAAATTTTTAAACATACGCAAAACCTCATAAATTAGTGCTGATTATGGTCTCGTTCGGTAAATAGAGTCAAAATTCAGTAGGTGAATTAATGAACAGCATACAATGTGTCAATCAGCAAAATCAGAGCTCACGGATACGGTGTCCATCGGAGCTCACCCAGTGATCGAAATGCCCAACCGTGTTGGTTAAGTTTGGCTAAATGATGGATGGGCCAAGATTCAACTTTTTACCGGAAAGCAACAGTGATGTTACCTACCAACCTAAGATGAGTGTTGGTGAACCCTTTCCTAACATTTGTTTGCTAAAAAATAAAATTTACAAAGACAATTTATCAGTTATTGCTGATTGAGTTACCTCCCATCCATTGGAGATTTGCGGCTTTTAAGCGTCAAATTCAAACAAAAATAAAATAATATATTCTATGAAAGAGATTTCCAAAATGCCTTTTTAATCCGCCAACTATACACTTCATCCAAACTTAATCTTTTTATACTCCTTTCCACATATTAAAGGCGTAATAGAGACGATTATCAATAAAACATATTATTAAAATTAATTTCTCATAGTTTGGAGAGAACATAGTTCGGTACTGCTCTGGATAGAAGGCCCAATACTTTAAAGCCGACTTTGTGTAAACTCCAAAAGACAGCTATCATTGCGAGGAAATGAACGCGCGTTCTTGTTCTCGTCCAAGCGTGTCTCCCGGTAGATTCCAAATGCCCACCTTCTCTAAGTTGTGCTCACCTGATTGGCCGCTGCTTTTATTGTTGCTTTCCTAAGTCAATCAATGGCCATTGCCTGAAGGCACAAGGCCAGTCTTGGCCAATCATATACTAGAAACTTGCAAAATTGCCGTGTGAAGACAACCACACGTCCACGTATACTATAACGTACATCAGAGGTTGATTTATCAGCTCTCATAATACTAAAGGTATGAAGTCACTCCCCATCGCCGTAAAATCACTCTCATAAGGTAGAGGTAATATCAAAATTATCATATTTTATAATTTTATGATTTTCTAATGACATAACATAACAACATAGGTCTCAAAAATACAAGCCATTAAGAAAAACTTCGATTATCAGCTACGACCTTGTGAATTTATAAAGGTTTCTGCTGATAATGTGTTCATAATTCTGGAAGATCTAGAGCATGGAACTTAGTTTTTTTAAGCCTGGTGGCACTTTTTTCTATTTAGGTCTTTAAATGGAGATTCCTTTATTAAATCTAAGGGCTTAGATTCGAATTCCGCAGACTAAATTCATTGATTAAATATATTGCATTTTAGAGTGGTTACATATAATTTTCGGAAAATGAAATTTTTAACTTCGTAATCACTGCCGAATGGAGTTCATATATCGCAACAACGCGGGAAGGTTTCGTTTGGAGGCTGGAGTTCAGTCTTTTCTACCACCCACTGTACCGGTTTCGAGTTTGAATACTGGAATTTCAGTCGGTGTTGGGATCAAAGCGACTTCTTCAGCCAATCCATCCACAGTACGACGTCCAACACAATGGTTCTTAACTGGTTCGCCATCCACCGATTCTAGAGATCTAATTCTAAAGACATCAGCATTCCAGGAAAGTTGTCCAAGTATCCATCTTCTTTCGGGGGGTGGGGGGCCACGAAATACAGTTGCCACCCCCTCCTCACTTCAAAGGCAACTTCAGAGCTCTTCAGCTCCTAATGCGGGTATAACGGGTGTTGAACCCATCTTTTCTCCACCGGGTCATGCTATGGGATTATTTAAGATCCGAACTCCTAAGAAGAGATCGCCATCATTTTCCCGTGGTGGGCCTGTTCATTTGGAAAATCCTGAAAGAGAAACACGGTGGTATTTCAAATACTTCTTAGGAAAAGGTGAACCAAATTATCGTAATAACTATAACCCTTTAGCTCATCAACTTTATTGTGGGAATATTTCTGAGAAAGACCCCTTGCTTCTAGCAATAATTAGATCTGAATTCGAAGCCGAAGGCTTGAGGCAGTATAGAGCTATCTTGTGGACAAAGTTTGTAGGTTTTCACGATCGTTCTTTTACTTCATTTCCTTTTAAGGGAAGTCAGAAACTTTGCGTTTCTAATAGCTTTACAAGTTCTGTGTCTGCGAAGAAAATCCTTTGGTAAGTTCTGTGTTCCCAAGGCTATCTTTGTTAGTCTCTTCGACATCCATCGACTAGAAAAGGGACTGAAGGAGATTCTACAGTTGGAAGCACAGAAAGAAGCTCTTACTCTTGAGGAACAAGAGGTTTGTGATCCAATCCTTTTTCCATAATTATTTCAGGGTTCTGTAAATTTCAAATTTGGAGTTCTATACTGCAGAGATGGTCAAATATCAGACGAAGAGATGTACAATAACGGTAATAGCACACCCTGCCAGATAATCTAATTGTATCATGTAAAGGTGCTTGATGTGATATCTTTTCTTTATTTCTCGATTTCTTCAAGAGATTGGAAGTCCCCAATATCAGTCTTTTCTCCGTCTTCTTGGAGATAGAATAGCCCTGAAGAATTGGGACCGTTTCAAAGGCGGTCTCGATGCGAAGAGTAAGTTTTTACTTTTCTTTTTAAGTTTCTTTGGCGTAGAAAGTAATAACATTAGTTAAGATTATTTCATCGATTTACTCTATCCAAAGTTGAAACTCTCAAACATTAGTTTGAAGAGGAAAAAGCAGGTAACGAGATCTTTGAAATCCCTGTCTCGGCAACAATGACACGTTGACATATTGACATTTAAAATCATCTAGAAAATATAAATACGTAGGAGTGTGAGGCAGTGTTGGGTAAATATTAGGTATTGAATCTATAGTCCGATAGAGAATCATCAGATTGTTTGCCTTGTTAATGCCGCATTTATCATATATACTTCATCTTCCAGATAACTTCTATATATGAAAATTGTAATCGTAATTGTTGAAACATCCTTGAACCAGAAGAACGATCATTCTAATTCCCTGGCAAACCATGCCAGTTCGTTAATCATCCTTGGATTTTAGTTAACTACGTCACCAGTACCTTCACATCTCACTTATATTAACGAGGAAACGATTGCCCCATGCAAATCCTCTTTCCTCCACACACACACACACACCCACATGTATTTAGCATTCAATAATATATCTATTTCTCTGTAGGCTTTATAGTAAATTTTTCGGTATCCAAATTACCAACTTTGAACATAAATTTAAATTTAAATACAGTGCGTAGTTTGGAACGCTACAACATTTTGGCTGCTTAAAACCTGCAATTTCAGAAATACTGTAATACTGTTTACATTTAAGTGATTCTTAGTTCGATATTTTAAATTGGTTTTTTTTAATTTTATCAGCCAAGTTGAACAAATAATAAGATTGGGAATAGTTATAAACTAGGTTTCACCGCGATGGGGGCAGAAAATGTTTGCTGAGTATGTGACACCCAAAACTTTATGAGCTTCATTAATAAAGGGAATAAAAAGTAAGCTTTGGCAGAGTTTTCGTGTTTGTGCAAAACAACAAAAAGGTGTTCTAGGTAGTAGATTACAATACCCACACACACACACACCTGGCGATTAAGAACGATAAGACGTAGTCAAGGTGATCCCATAAGAGGAGTTCACATATGCTCTATCGGTACCTACATCACGCGGAGTCAATAATGATCAGACCTAACTGCCATCTCACGTGAAAGTATTTGCGTGTGAACGGACATTCCAGATCACAGTCGAACTGTGTGCCTAACTTGGCATATTATTTCTACTTGAACAGGTTCCCGTTATTGGTGAAGACATAGAGCCTTAACTTGGAAGTTTGAAATACATGGCTATGAGGAATGAAGTTTAATAAAAATGATTTATCTAATTGTTATTAAAAGGCAAACATCAGAGAAAACTGGGTTTAGTCGATACTCTGTCGTTTATTCATATCTACGACAGGCCCACCAATCAATGATAATAAAACTATTTTCAGATTGTCTTGTTCATGTCCACTTTTATCTTGAATTTTTATGTGAGTGGATCGATTCTCTTTTCCCATATTTAATTCTGCACCATAAAGGACTTTCAACAGCACCAAGCTTGTTATCATTCACCAAGTTACCTAGTGCCTATCTATTGTTTATTTTGATTAAATTTCATGATGTTTGAATAGTTGCTTTCATCTGGAACTTCATTGTTCTAACGTTAAAAAGCCGCTTTTGTAACATTGAGCGCCATTTACGCAACTTTGACCAAACTTTGGTGTGCGTGGGCTGCCTGCCAGCGGCAATTATCTAGCATGTAGGAGATTGAAACTTCTGGAGTAAAGTTTCAGCTAATGTTAGCCAGCAATGTGTCTTGCGCTTAAACCTCCGAATTAATAATTTGTTGATTGAAATGAGAGTTGAATATTATTCTACTTCTGAGGTGAAAAAGACCTTTGCTCAGTTCTTTGCCATCTACCTACCCTTATCTCATTTAGGCAATCACTGAAGGAAAACAGCATTGGTAGTATGACTATTAGCTCTAAGGTTCATGATGATTTGAAATTATTAAAATTAAATGAATTATATCCAAAATTAGTATAATTAGAAGGATGACGTAAGAAGCTTAGTGAAGAAGACGCATTCATTCGGAATTGGTGATTGGATCGTCGTCTTAATAGCAATACCAACAGTAGCGATTGACGAAATCACGTGAAAGCTTACCAAAACTGACAGGGACCAAATTTTCGGTGTGAATCATAGTGGTAGAATTGCCAAAAGCGGAGGATGTAAAAGAGAATATGAACTTCGTCGACGAAGGACATTTACTAATTGTTCGTTTTTTACTCTCCCAAGGTATTCATACCTCGTCTAATTCTTTTCGATTAACTATTTACCAATATTTACTATATGAGCAGTTCAGGATTTATAAATCTCTCCTACTTACAGAGTTATAGAATTAAAATAGTTTTCCACGATATTTAATATCTCCTATGAATAAAATATAGCACATCTGTGACGGTATTAATCCCAAACCTACACAGAATATTCACGAGTAAGCACATTTTCATGGGTCAAAGGGAGTTAAAAATGAATTAATCATTTCACTAAAACAACATGCAGAGTTCATCTGAAGCGGCGGCGAAAATACCAACTGCAGATTCGTTCCGTCCGTCCTACGACAAAACCCATTTTTTACAAGCCTGAGTGTCGATGTTGAAGCGCAGGGAAAAACACAACCCAGCTATTAGGGGAATCATGAATTGGGACTGACAAATGCCCTTTTATGCACCAATTAGCTTTCTGCTTCGTTTAATTTAAAAAGAAAACTGCTGCCTGAGGGCATTTTTTTCCCTATTTACTTGGCTTAAAACTGTCGCATCATAGTGCCAGTCAACTAACACTTCGAAATAAGCATAATTTTACCTTTACTTTCAGCTGAGACTACTGGGACAGAATCCATCTACACTATCTATGAAGGTCATGAAATAATGTTCCATGTTTCTACACTTCTTCCAATTTCTCCCGATAATCGACAGCAAGTAGGTTCCCGTCATTATTCAAAACGTTAACTTTTCATTACTATATGAACCGGCGATATTATTTATTCTCTCCTAAAAAGAGGTAATAATATTTAAAATACTTGCCCCATGTTCTATCAAATTATGATAATTTCACAATTTTTCAGTTCCTTCTTTTTCCTCACCTCAGAATTATATCCTTTAGTACCAGTTTCAACAGCTACTTCACTCGATTTCGACTTCAGTGTGTTGAGATGGCTCAAATATAAACTATGCGGCAAAATTACTGATTGGCTTTGTTTGAATTAAATCTTCAGACACGAGGTTACAAAAAGGAAAGGGTTTATTAATTATGGCAGTAATGGGCAGAAAAAGTTCAGAAAGAACAACTTTGAATGTACAATTCGTTCATTAGAATGGAATCCTCAAGCATACTAATAATAATAGCTGGCCAGAGCTTAAAAATCTTTGAGCGTTATCTTGCTTTTAGAACCTGAGCACGCTGATTCATAAATCTGCTCCACCTCAGCTTACTGAGTGTCGGCTGACTCATGTCTCCGTTCTAACTGAGAGTTGCTCAGCAGTGAACACAATGGAGAAAATATGTCAAGCGTCATATCATTACCTTATTCACACCTCTTCTCTCGACTACCCCCACACCCGGCTAGAACTATTCTTGTTGTTGATAAGATTTCCTTTATTTCCAATGGGAAATGAGCGTTGGCCCACTTTAGTGGTCTCTTAGAACCACTATGTATATGGCCTTCAAGCACTCGTTGATGTGAACGGCAGACCTGCAGATAAGGCACGGAAAACGCTCGGAATTCTGTTTCTTATCAACTGCAGATAGTGCAAAATATTTCGGAACAGTTTAAAATAATTGCATCAATTCCAATTGTGACTATCAAGACGTTAACTCCCCAATCATAAAGACCACATTTTCTGGTGAAGGTTTAACAACATATCTCCTAAAAATTTAATATATATCTTCTACTTTGCCATTTTTAGATAGAAAGAAAGCGACATATTGGCAATGACATTGTGAATATCATATTTTTTGATACCAACGATGTGGAGAAACCCCTGTCTTGGAAACCATCAATGATGAAAACCCACTTCACGCGTAACCTTTTACTGTGAAATTTATTTACGAAATTTTTAAAGATCTGATAATCTGAGACAAATTTAAAAAGGTTTAAATTTAAATAAATGAGATATATATATATATATATATTTACCAGTTAGCTTATGTATAGACGTATGCATAGGAAAAAGTATATTAAAGATTTTATTTTGCATTTTGCTACTGGAACTCAAACCACTTGGGATATATGGTTGTTTCACCTACGACCTTGAGTGACAATTCTTGAAGGTCTTTGAGGGGATTTAGGTTTCGATTCCGTAATTCTCTTTAGGTTCTATAGACTCTAAGAACCGGCTTTCATGAATTTAAAAGCGTAGAAACGCCTAATTAAAGATATTTTAAAGCTAAGTATATACATATATATATATATATATATATATATATATATTGAACAGTTCCTGTGTTAATTTATTTCAAATGGCAGGCGTTTTGATCGTTATCATTAGCCCTTTAGCTGACTTCGGGCTTCACAGGGGGAAGGAACGTCAAAGTAACAGAAAGTCGAGGGGTGGGGAACAGAAGAGAGGTTCACAGATATGAAAAGAAGGATAAGTACTGTGAAAGTGGTAGAACATGGCATACAGTTGGGCCATTGTAGTTTGAAGTCAGAAGTCAACTACCGGTTAATAGACCTTTTTTGCCGTATGAGTATACGTTGCCCAGGGTGCTCCACATGGAGGCAAGTCTATCGCACACCCCGTTCCTGGAATAACATTTCAAA